GAAAAGCAGTAAATACCGGAAGGAAAATGGGAATAAAGTTGAATAAGTACTGTCCAATCCTTTCTCATTTACTTTTCGTTGATGACTGGATTTCTTTTTAGACAAAAAGGTGAAGGAATGTTAGAATCTTACATTGATACTGAACTAATATTGCTTTTCATCTGGGCAAGCAATAAACTTGAAAAAATATGGCATTTTATTTTGTTTGAGCTATCCACAAAACTTGAGAAGCAGCATGGCCAAAGAATTGAGTCTCTGAAATCAAGAAGACTGGGAAATATTTTGGAATCCCTTCATATTGGGGTATGTGTAAAAAACATTTGTTCGGTTGGCTTTTACCTAGAGTAAATATGAAGTTAAAGGGGTGGAAAGGAAAACCCGATTTTAAAGGCAGGAAAGGAGGTTTTGCTTAAGACTCTGGTACACGCTCTTTCTTACTATGTCATGTCTATTTTCAAGATTCTAATTTCGATTTTTGCAAATCTATAGAAGAAGAAAATTGCAGTGTTTTTGGTGGAAAAAGTGAATAAAAAACTAGTCTTCGTTGGAAAGGTGGGAAGTGCTGAAAATCATAAAAGACAAAGGGGGAATGGATTTTAGAGACTTGCTCTCGAGATGCATAGCGGCTTTCTCAAAACCAAGCTTCTTAATGGAGCCAGATTCTAAAAGGAATTTATTTTCCTAGTATGTCTTTTTGGCAAGCTGACAAAGGGACTCGCCCCTATTGGGGTTGGCAGAGCATCTTGATGGGTAGAGAAACAATCTCGGAGTTAGTTATGTGGTCAGTTGGTATGGGAGAAAGTATCATCTGTGGAGATGGATGGCTAAAGAGAGGAGTTATAGGAGGACCAGCAGACTTTAATGAACCAACTAAAGTAACTGACCTGATTTTTCAGGAGGATGAGAGATGAGATGGCCAAACACTAAGAAGGCTTATTGATAAGCAAACAGTGAACCAAATTTTAGCTGTGCCTTTGAGGACGAGAACCACATAAGATAACTTAGTGTGGACTGCCACTAAGTCTGGTGTGCACTCAGTGAAATGTGTATACAACCTGGTCAGAGAGAATGACACCAACAGGATATTATGCAAGCCTCGTCATCATTTCAGCCAACCCGTAAGTTTTGGTACCAAATTTGCCACTTGAAAACCCTCCTAAAGTTAGAATCTCTCTCTGAAACTTGTGCCAAAATACACTACCTATCAGAGAGAAACTTTCCGGTCGCAATATCTTACCTCAGCCAGTGTGCCCCTTTTGCTACGGTGAAGCAGAAACGCTGGAACATCTTATTCTACTTTGCCCCCGGACTAAGTGCCTGTTTAGTTCAGTATTTGCAAGAGCCCTAAAGTCTCGTGGCCAAATGCAAATAGTGCTTGGCAATTATCGTGGAGAACTTTGAGGAAATGCAATTGCATTTCCGAAGATCTCTAAAGGCTTTTAGCCCAAGGCATGTCCAAAAATACTTTGAAAAGTTGCATTCTCGAAATGCAAGTTCACTGTTCATCATCCCTGATTTACCCAGAGAAGCAAGTTTGGAGGCTAATGACCGCCGCTAAGGGGTTGTGCGACCCCGGCGACCGCCGCCTAAGGGTCATGCGACCTCAGGCATCGCCTAGGTCACGCGACCTCAGGCATCGCCTAGGTCACGCGACCTCAGGCATCGCCTAGGTCACGCGACCCAAGCAAGCGTTGGCCTAGGTCGCGCAATCCCAAGCGACCATTGCCTGGGCCCGATGTCAGGCAGCATCACTTGGGTTACGGGACCCTAGGTGACCATCACTTGGGTGGCGCGACCTAGGCGATGCTTGAGGTCACGCAACCTTAGGCCGCCTCTCCTAAGGTGGCGTGACCTCAGGCAGTCTCGCCTGAGGTTGCTGGAGACCGTTTTGGCCCACTGGCGGCTGAGCTCCACCTCAAAATTTTTTAAAAAATAAATATTAGCAAAAGTCCTTTATAAAATATAATTTTTACCAAACGGTATTTAAGTCAAAATTTCTTCCAAATATGATTTTAAAATTACTTTACTAAACACCACTTGCATTTTAGAAAGTCCTAGCCCAAAGGCCTTTGTATTTTGCCAAAGTCATTTCCCCAAAGCCAAACCAAATGGGCCCTAACTCAGTTTGATCCTACTGTCAACATTCAAAGTTTGCATCAAAACCTCACATGAATACACGAATGGATCCACAATCTCAACACTCAGCCTGGTAACATACCTACCTTCGACTGGATTGCCGCTCTGCTATGGTTTATATTGAAAGCCAAAAACGATTTTGTGTCTCGACATCAAGCCCCAAATCCCCTAATTGCTTTGGCGGAAACTATGAACAGCAATTACAGCAAGTGGAATTCTCAAAGTTCGAAACTCTACTCCGAAAACACTCACTCACCCCAAAATTGGCTTCCATCGAAGAGCCGGTCCTTCAAAATCAACATAGATGGGTCATTTGCTGCAAAACAAAACAAAGATCATCTTGAATAGGAAGCGGTGTCTTGCCTTTTCTTCTGGGTCATCTTTTATGCCACTTGGGTTCCTCTCAAGTGGTAGATTGTCGCAACATTCGGGAAAGTTAATGGATTACTCAACGGAAAAGAAGGTTCTTCTCACGAGGCAATCGCTTGCGTTTATGTTGGAAACAGACGCGGAAAAACAAATACAGAACACGGGGATTTACGTGGTTCGATCACAACGTGATCTACATCCACGGGCAAGGCAAGACAAGATTCCACTATAATCAAAGAGAGTACAGTTTTCAGAAGTCGAAACAACGACAAAAGCTCACGGCTCACAAAACTCTCCAAAAACAAAATTCTCTCTGTACATCAATGAGAAAACCTAGCCGCAGTATAAATAATGCTCCCAAAAACGGTACTATCCAGGTTGGGCCTATCGGCCCAACCCTCCGCGTCACGAACCAAATCTCAATTTTCTCTCCACTTTCGGGTCGCACAAAAAATATGTCGGGTCGGGTCATCGACCGGACCGAATACATAAAATTCAAGACATATTTAACAGTTTAGCACAGACTTTCTCAAGCCCTATCAATCGCAACCTGATACTCAATTCAACATACATTTAAACTTACCTTTCAAAACCGCCACTAATCTTATATGGGTCGATTAGACAGTCTAGTAAAGTGTGAGAGTACATTTTACTTTTACGAATTAGAGATTTGATTACGCTAGATTAATGTGATGCACTTTCGTTACCTTTTTATCTTTATTTCGAAAATGCTTTGCATGCAGTCTCTATTTATTTTTATTCTATGCCATCTATTCTAATTTTTTTTTTATATTTTTTCATTTAATTAACATGCCTAATCCAAGAAAAAAACACAAATAAACCCTAGATTTCTATGTTAAAAGGAATTGACTCATATACTCTAACTAAATAACTAGATGACATACACGAAGATGCAGCTATGTGATATGCATAATGAGTTCTAAATGATATGCTATGGAATTAATTCTAAATGTTAACTATGTGGGACATCAATGAAAAATAAGCTCAAATGACCTGCTAAATACCTTGCGATATGCAATTTATTAATATTCTAAACTAATGCAATCTTCATGGGACTACCTCAAGTATTTTTGTTCTTTTTCTTTACTAATTAACAAAATACAATTGACCCTAAAGTCTATAAGTTAAATGCACATGCATTTTTCTATTCTATATGCAAAATGGGACATTTTAAATGTATGCAATCATGAGTGCTATTTTATTCTATATGCATTTTTCATTCTATAATCGAGCATGCAATTTCTACTCAAGAACTAACCGTGAACTAATCCTATGATGCAAACCAATATGAAGTGCGATTCTTTATTATTATTTTTTTCATGTAAATTATAAATTTAAATCCTAGGTTTCGAATGACTTAGCTATAAGACTAACAATTACATGATGCGATGCGGACTCTTATATATTTTTTATTCTATATGAACTATATAATGCGAGTAACCTAAGACTATTCGTACGACATGACGTGTATTATATGATGTGAGACTAAATTGACCCAAGGTCTACATGCAATCAATAACCTACATAACATTTTTATTTGATTTTTTTATTTTTTTATGAAAACTATGTAGCATTATAAATCTATATGCATTTTAGAATTAGCATGCAATGCTCTATGTTCGTAAGCCCTAAAAAAGTGAATCATGGGTGCACCCTAAGTTCTAAATGTACATGAGACGGTGAGGTGTAATTACGATGCACGAAATACACATTATGATTAGAATTAATCACATCATTGATAATGTACTAGATCGAATTAACCATAGCAAGCCACGCAAAAACCAATATTGGGGTTCAACCTTAGTGCCTAAAGGTCTGAAAGCCCGATATGTCTTAGTTGATGCACATTATCAACTAGAAACATGCAACTAAATCACATATTTGGGACTGTCTATCCACAACCTAAGCAAACCTACTCCTTACCTTGACTAGAATTGGCCTAAGGCAATAGGGACCGGGACGAGACAATGAAAGAGAGCACGGCCGTCGGGCTTGGCGAACGACCGGTGAGAAGCACAACGGTCGGGTTTGGGTGTAAAACCAGCAAAGGGGGGCACAGCCAAGAGCGACAAAAGTGTGGTTACAGTGAAGAAACGGCCTAGATAGTCAGAGCTTTACGGGATGAACTGAGCAACAATGATGGAGGGACTCTAACAATGATGTAGGGACTCTGCATTCCGACGAGAGTAGCGATGCTGGAAAGTACACCAAAATGATGGGAATAATTTGAAGGGGAATTGTCGATTCTGGAAGAGAGTTGTGGATTCAAGATATTTGAGGTAAAACGCTCATAGCTCACGCAACACTAAGACAAGGAGACGAAGAGGTCTTTTACTTATTTCACCTTATCATAAAGATTTATTATCAAAATATGCATAAAAGTTAGAGATGCAAAATTTGATACCAAATATGCATGAGGATTAGAAATGCAAAATGAGAGACTTGCGAGAATTAAAGATTTGCTAAAACAATCATTAAGAACACGGTACTAGGTAAAGCTCTCAATCATATAGCGCAATGTCGCACGAGCTTTACCCATTTATATATTTATTAACACATGCTACGATTTCGAGTAAAGCACCAAACATTGGTGTCAAATATGATTGACATCAATAAAATAACTCTACATTCCTCTCAAATTCTCCATAACTCAATTTTAACTGCTTTTAAGCAGCAAATCGATATAAATTTCACACATTTAAATCACAAAATAGCGGAATTCATTTGTTCTTATTTCCTCGATCTTGGTCTTCTTCTCATCATGTGAGAGACGACATCTTGCGAGACTGTTGAGCGATGATGCTGGCTGTGGAAGGGCTCAGCTCTAATATGACTTCGTACCCGTCGCTGAAGTTATCCATGCCTTGAGCGAACAGCTGCCAAAAGAGGCCGCCAGCACACGATCCTTGATTGCTTGCACTCGTGTAGATCGTGTCGTACAGCCTCCCGAAATAGCTGTCCCTCTTTTCTAAGCTGTAACCCGATGACTTCGATGACTTACCGAATTCGTCAAGTATGATCGGCTTATTGAGGATGGTGTTGGAGTCTTGAATATGGACTTGAACCCATTTGTCCACAAATGCAGCTTGGTCCCCCTCACTTGCACTAGGCAACCTGTCAAGAAAAAACATTAATTAGCCAAGACAAGGAAAAACAACATAAGAGGTGCAATTTTGGTCGAAGCGCCAGGATGTAGCGCGATTTGAGGGATTGGAGGGCATGTTCTGATCTTTACCATGATTCGGGGTACATGTGTATCGTGGCGAAGTCGACCTGGGGGACTTGGTTGTTGGAGATGAAATCAGTCCCGACAAGCAAACCGCCAGGATTGATCTGCTGCTTCCCTGGAACCGATTGCCCATAGAACCCTTCGAGTCCAACTTCCAGCATATGATTACTATCGATCGACTTCACGTACGCTGCCATTTCGCTCACCCAGTCCTGAACAAGCTAAATGAACTGATTAATGGCAAGACTAACAAATTATTACGAAGTGATGTCGCTCGATTCAATTTATTTCTCCTCACTAATTTGATACTGTAAATAGAACACGATTAGAGAATTGGTTACTTTGAGACAGCCTATAGTTCCTGTAACTAATAAAGCCACGAATGTGATGTTCTATTCAGGAAAACTGTTCCGGGTTGGTTCGACGTCGTGGTCATGTGTGATTTGAAAATGACATGGACTAATGTCACGAGGACAAAAAAGCAAAAAGGCATTGTTACTAGCAATTGCCGAACGTTAACAATGACTGAGCAGATCTTTCTGTTTTGCTTCTTCTTCTGCATCACGTCAATGCGATATCCAAAAATCTCTCTCCTTTTAAGCAAAGAAATTGGTGACTTTACACTTCAAGTGGATGAATTCCGGTAAAGAACCAAACTTGCCCAAACAGAAGCGAAATCTCATTTCACTATGGTGACATCTTACTCATTAGTCCTTTTCTTGATTAAAGTCTTTCCCCGTACGTCTATCCTTGTCTTCTAATATCATTAGGATGTATGAATTTACAGTTTTAATTTTATGACGAAAAAGTACGAACCCCATCTTAGCAGAGTTTCACTGAGAAATTCATGGATGCTGATGCCATATGTTGCTTTGTTCGCGCGTAAATTTGTTGCAGATGCGGTAAAAATGTCGCAAACTCATTATTGATTGACACTATCGCTAAGTGTTCGATTGATTCTGTCTATTACCTCCACAAATTTATATAAATTAAACAGAGATCGAGAGAGAGACCTGAAGAGTTTTGCCAGAGGGGTCGGACCGGCATTGAGGCTCGTTCATGAGTTCCCATGCAAAGATGGTAGGATCGTCCTTGTACGCCACTCCCGTTATGGTGTTCATCCTCGTCAGCACTGCCTGCAATTTCATCACACCACATAAAATACGTAAACAGACAGAGATTCCTGATTAGTCCTAGGATGTCTTCAAAGGACTCCCTTCGCCACGTGTCAAACTTAAGCTTGGACATAAATCTCAGGTTTTATCACAAAGGTTTTCCTAATTCGGGCAATCTCGATTTATTATCCTCTTTTCAAATAAGTCCCTTTGATCTTGTTTTTGCATGAATTCCAACATTTTCACCTTCATATTAGGAATTACCACAAGGAAAAAAAGACACCCAGATTCTCATTACCCCTGTATCTGCCAAAAATGAACTTTTTATCAATCTCAGATGCAGTATGTTAAAAATCATGGTGTTGCTGGTATTTATGTCTGAATTGAATTCATATACAGATAGAAGAACAGAAAGCACGGACACACAAACCTTGATATGATTCTTGTAATAACCCTTGGTGACAGAGTTAGTGAAGAACTCCTCATCATTGCTCAACGACTGTCCACTTTTCCGAGCCCACTGCACATACTGACTCTTTCCTCCGAAGTCCTTCCAGTTGTTCACCAAGCTCAGTATCAGGTACAGTCCATTTTTCCCAGCTTCCGATATCACAAAGTCCAATCCCTAAACAAGAATATTAATCACACAAATCTCTGTGAGGTGTCTAGAATTTATTTTGCGTATGCCACGAGCAAAAATATTTACTATTTTTACCTTGAACACTTCTTCATCGTAGACGCCGGGAGAGGTCTGGAGGGCCCGGTAGACGCCGTCGCTGAAGGCCCAAGTCCTGGCGATGTTCATGCCATTCTTGGTGGCCTCCTGGAGAGCGCTCGTAACCTTGTCCCGGGTGGACGGGTCGGACGCCATGTACATCATCCAGTATGCGTTGAACCCGTTCAGGTACAGCGGCTTCCCGTTCGCCACGAAACGTATCCCTTTCGTTCTCACGAACCCACTTCCCCCGACCCTGTCGACCGCCACCTCACAGTTCGCCCGGAGGAGGAGCGCCGCTAGAGCCAGGACTACAAACTTTAGGCACATTTTTTTCGTCTCTCTAATTTTGGAGATGATACTTCTGTGTATGTTGATAGAGTTTTAGAAATTGGAGAGAGAGGAAATGAACTTGTCAATATGTGGACGTATTGGTGATGCTATGGGGAGGCTTATATAGGCATGTCTTAGTTTTTTTTTTGGTTGATACATGTCTTAGTTCAAATATGCAAGCAAATCGAGTCGTCTTGCTCTCTTTATTGCATCAACTGCTTCATACCATAACCCGTACGAAACTCCTCCAACATCATTTCTTGTAAATCACGTCATCTTTTTCACTGCAGGGTCAAGGTCACCACCGCTCACGCGACGCCCGAGTTTTAGTCGACTTTTTTTCGCATTTCTAAATAATTTACCCGATGGCGACGGGACAGTGAAACTTTTTTGACAGTGTCACCCATGATTAGACCCTAGTACCAAAGGACGAATCAGATTTTTTTTTAATGTGACGATTTTGTTACCTCTTATGAAATAGGAGAAAGTAGCAGGTACTCAATTATGTTTCTAAAAACATGAAGTTGAAGGTTAGATTTCTTTCAAATCATCGAATTAAAGCACTTGCCTTATACAGTCGCTCTCTAATTCCAGCTGCAGAATTGATCAGTCACGAAATCTACTAGATACCGGTGGTACTACCACCTTTTGTTAGCCTAGGGGATTGAATTATTACTAAATAATCGTGGCACCATTTATGTGATTTGTTCTTTTCAATCCGTATAGACAACTTGGCAAATCTGTGTCCATGCATTTATATTAGACTTTTCATCATTATAATGAAAATCGAAGACGAAATTGAATAGCTAGTGTAACAATTGATACAAACTAATTTGAAAACGTTCGTTCTTATATCGGCAAAAGCCCTAATAAAAGTCTTTGGAGTTATGCAATATCTAAAACTCGTGTTTAGTGGTTTTCCCCTTTGACTTGCACCAAACGAAACTCCAACTATTATCTTCATTACAAGCTAGCACCGTCATCATCTTCGTTTGATAAGGATATCTTATAGCGTTGATCTCTTAATGTTTTCTACTCATAAATATATAAGGGATACAAAAGAGGTAGTGTTGCGAAATTTACATTAGTACTTAAATAAATGAACTGCATTTCCACTCAATAAGAATCTATATCAACGTCAGTTTGCAAATCAATTTCGTCATGGTAAATCTCACCATTCACTGTTTTCTCCTGGAAGATGTATCCGACAACTAGGTGCAATAAGTAGTTGTACTAGTTAAAGATGTTTTTTTGACTTTTGAATCTGAAAATATTTAATGCATATGCTGTAGGGCAGTGACTAAAGTCTTCTAACTTATAGAGGGGTTCCTATTTTCTGCTCGAGTCTTACTGAGCATGTGTCAGTGGTCACCACCCCCATTTCCCATTTCACATTCCGACGACTTCTAGAACTCTATCGTGAATGGATTGGAAAAGGACAGAAGTAAAGCAAGAGACTTCGTTCATCTGTCAATGCGTTGGTTCACACTCTAGTTGATGTCATCTGCAACGTAAGAACAGAACTGTTATTGGTCTCGGTAGGTAAATATGGTCGGCTAGCGAACAGCTACAGCATAAGAATTTCAATTGATTTCGACAAATGTATGTACGAGTGTATTTGCTTGAACTGTTGCATGGTATTGTTCTACGTGGTCAATACAACAAATTTGTTTTCGTTCTTGACGTTCATATCTAGGGTTGTCTCATGTTTCGATCTCGTAATCTTAGGATAAGATGAGTTTTTATCTTGCCCATACCCTCACCTTTAGTTTTTAATAATTTCTCCATCCACTCTCAAAACTATTCGTTTCCTTTTCAAACCATCTGAGGCTGGACCATTTGCAGTCCAGTCACGCATGGGTTCGATTTCTTCTCATCAATAGGCTGGAAACGCGTGAACACAAGGTTGCCTTTTGGCGTTGCCTTGTGAATCATTATCTGTGGACAGTCCCTAACTTAAATTGATGTTTTGGATCAATTGGACGTGTGCGTGCATGGATGAGGCGTTCGACACAAAGTTGGATTCTCGATTCATCAGGTGAAAACGGCCTATTCTTTGAGCCAACCGAATTTCGGCTTGTGTTTGGCTCGTGAATACAGCACCGTGTTGAATGAAAGGTGATAATATCCATGGGCAATTTTGCATGGTTTCCACCCTTTGCGATGTTTCATTGGTTCAAGAAACCCCTCCCACTAGCACAAAACAAAACACTAACTGAGAGAATTTTAACGGTCTCTTCTGCCCCTCCAAACCGAAAGATGCCAAACGTTTCGCAAATTGTCATTTGGAATGACATACAATATCGTAATGAAGGATCTTGGGCGTTCTCTCTTCTTCGGATATGCTTCACAGAAAAGTGAGAGAGTCGAAAGAGCAGAAACGCAATAAACACTCGACACCCATGCCATGCCCATTCTCTTCTCCCTTGTGGACTCAACTTTTTGCTAACAGACGAAAAGAGGATGAAACTTGTAACCTATGTCTTGCCACGAGACTGCGATTGATTCAGACAAGATAGTGATGGAACTAGTGCAATAAACATTCACGCATCTATGAGACTATGAACTTGCAACATATCCAACACCTTCTGTTTAGGCGGGGCAAAATTTGAACAAAAGTTATGAAAAGTAAAAGCAAAGACATAGCGTTCACCAATCAAGATGATCTACCACTTGAGAAGGAACCCGAGGCAAAGAAACTGCTTCCTATTCAAAATGATCTCTGTTCTGTTTTGCAAACCTGCAACCCATACTTCAGCCGGCTAACAGCATTTCGAGTGCATGAAAAGTGAAGCTCAATCTCATTATACTGCGAGTTCTTTCAACTTGACACTGTAGCAACCAGCAAGAATCTAGAGGTTCTAGTCACGATTTTTTTTTATTTTTCATTCAAAGCACTGGTTTACCATTTACGGATCAAGGAGCAAATACACTAGTCCAAGCTGGTGTGGCACTACTAGTAGCGGTCTTATACAAAACCCTCACAGTTTCTTTTTCTTCTCAAACAGTAGAAGGCAAAATTCAAGAAAGAAAGAATTGTCTATGCGGCATTTTTTCAACTTCTTCTGATCCTAAATCAAATAGCGTTGAACATGGAGAAATTTACTGCATAATCCGGATACTCTCTCTCTCTCTCTCTCTCTCTCTCTCTCTCTCTCTCTCTCTCTCTCTCTCTCTCTCTCTCTCTCTCTCTCTCTCTCTCTCTCTCTCTCTCTCTCTCTCTCTCTCTCTCTCATTATGAGCCCACCAATGTGTAACTCGCAAAGGATATATTTTCCAAGCAAGCCAATATATTCATAGAGCATGCGGGTGAATGAAATATAAGTCATAAGAATTAAGAAACAGAGTAACATAGAATATGTGAGTCGTGAAGTAGATCAGTGGAATCAAAGAACAAGTGGAAGCTATATCAGAAATCTCTCTCTCATTCATTATGAGCCCACCAATGTGTAACTCGCAAAGGATATATTTTCCAAGCAAGCCATTATATTCATAGAGCATGCGGGTGAATGAAATATAAGTCATAAGAATTAAGAAACAGAGTAACATAGAATATGAGAGTCGTGAAGTAGATCAGTGGAATCAAAGAACAAGTGGAAGCTATACCAGAAACTTCGATGAAAATTCAAAGACAAACTTTAAGCTTCGTAAAATATACATTGCACGCTCAGCATATCAGGCGATGTCTCACAAAATTATACCAGCAGCTGATCTATTACCAGAGTGTTGTTGCAGCATTTTTCGTAACAAAATGATGCAAATCATTCAGGACAGGGAGGCGGGTATTACGTAGATTCATTGAATCGGTAAGAGTTTATATCACATATGAACCAGATCATAGTTAGCTTTACAGATTCACAATTGGATCTATGTGCTTTCACATTTGGGAGGACTGATCAGAGCACAAGATAAAATTGAATTGCCTGATATGATGTCTCTTCAATAAACATTGCCTTTTTACTCTGCTCAGAGTCATACTTACAAAAAATCCTCTTGACCCATTGGAGCAGTCAGAGACTTGGAATTTATTTTACGTGCTTCTTCTCGAATGCACGAGAGATTCATCATTATCTCATTGCAAAGTCTTCCTTCAACAAGGCGTACTGGCAACCATAGCTTTGGCTTAACATCTACTATGTATGAAAGTGTCGTCTGGAATTCTTGGCCATTAGTAGGACTGGAATCCTCGTACGCCCCCACATTTAACTGCAAAACCAGTCATCTCAAAATCCTCAGAACATATTCGCTCTGTGGATTGTTGTATCTAGCATTACCCCCAACAGCATTAGCAACACAACCAAATTTGTGGAGGTATTCAGCAGCAGGTCATATATCCAACTGTTATTGACTACGGTCTATTTGCATAACAACGTAATGATGCACCTTACGGTCTCTCACCGACAGAAATCAATTATCGATGTTTCTCTTGGCAATGATTTCAACCAGAATATCCCTCTACAGTGGGGTAACCTTCAAAAATTTGTCCCATGATGATATATGGTAGACTGCAAGTGTAATCAAGTGCCATGGCAATAGAATAGAGAAGCAAGAAAAGACATGGTTAACGATAGGTGCAGACTTTGGAGCTATCTAATCAGATCTGCACCTTATGAAGAACAACGTTCTATTTTAATCCAAGATTTATAAGTTTCAATTTGAACAACTAAAACCTAATTGAAGAATTTGTAGCAAATTGTTGGTCAGTCTCTCTTTGCTTTGTATGCTAGGACACCATCCAGCAGGCACATTTCAATTGATCTGTCCTACATAGGAACCTCTACTTTTATTAGCCCAAGATTCTAAGTTTCATCAAGATCTAGAACTAAAAAAATGCATAATTTCATGAATATGCCTCATTACGAGGATAAATAACTTTACCTGTTCAATGGACCATTTTCCTTCGAATACTTGGAAATCACCTTCAATCATCTTGAATTCAATATCACGCCTTCTTCCAGAAGGAAGACACTCAAGGTCTTTCTCATAGCAATCTACGACTCCTTTAGCATTAAATTTTAGCCCAAATGCCAAGTTCTGCTGGCCAATCTGTCGAGCATACAGAGGAAGGTAAGGCTCAATGACAAATGTGGCCGTCTTTTAGCAAAGATCACATTCTGGAATAAAGAAGTTGCAGGAAAATGTAAACCCAGAATTGCAGGGATCGATCTTCACAGTGAAATGAACAGCAGGTTTTACATCCTAACATAGTTTCACCAAGTGATTATGAAAATTGCCCGGTTGACACAGATTCAGTACCGGACACTGTATTCATGTCCTGAAAGATGGAGAAAATACATTGCAATGTGTCATGACTCTCCATTAATTAAACTTACACAAAAGCAAAGCAAATATGAATGCAACCTAAACTACAAAAAATCAAAGGGAAGCCTCTTACTTATTAAGTAGATGCTCTGTGATGTATTTTGCCTCAAGAATCACAAACCTTAGGCACCACAGTACAGCAGCATATTCATACACACTAGCAAGCAACTCACAAAATTTTCCGCACCGATCGAAAAGATCAATGACAAATATATTCTCATGTTTCAGTAACTAAATTCAAGCCAGGAGCTGTAGTTTCTGTCACAATAAAACATCACAGACTGTTAAAAAAGATAATACACAACTCACACCATCTCTATCTGCTTAAGTTGTCAAAGTAACTGGCTTCACACTCTCTTAGAACAATATAGTAGGACATGAACTTCATTCAAGTTCTCGCACTGCCATTCCATGTGCCCTTGATATGTGACTGGTCTCAACGATTTTTTCGTTCGAGTATATGGAAAGTTTGCGTGCATCAAATTTTCATTATATAATCGGCTTAAAAGGGATTGTGGCAGAGTATAGAATGCAACACCGGCCGTTCACTGAAAATCAACATCTTGACCTAATGTAATGCTAATTTATCAATGCAGCATATACAGGACAAATTACAACAAAAAATTGAATTTCAACTGGAACCTCTGGACTAAGTACCTGATATAGCCTCGCGAAATTCTCTCTTTTCTCCATCAATTCGCTAACGGCAAGACCGGGAATAAAATCCGACAATCTCTCATAATCAGTCAAGATGCTCCAAATGGTGTCTAGGGTTGCGTCGATGCCAATCCTGGACAGAATCCTCCTCGAATTATTACCAGTCTCCTTAATCTCTATGAAAACCCCATCTCCGCTCACAGACTCGCCCTCATCCAATCCCTCACCCTCCTCAGCTTCATCGTCTTCCACCGGACTGTAATCGATCTTGGCGCAAAAGGGCAAGTGGCTGAATCGAGGGTCGATGCCTTTGGTCGCAGTGAACAAGAAATTCCGGGAATTGTTGCTTGAGATGGGGATGACGAATCTTGAACTCGAAGTGGGTGGCAAGGAAAGGCAAGGAACTGCAGACGTACGGATTTGGCGCAGGGAATGGTTCGATTCGAGCGAAGCTGGAGAAAGCATGTTTCTTGGCAAAATTTAGTAAATTCAAAGACGACCCATTTCGATTCTCGCGCAGTTTGGATCGAAGCTCGCTGATGGAGCGAAATTTGTCCGGGCAGTGGCGAGGGAGATGGCGATTCGGGTGTCAGGAATGTGTCGGAAGTTGGAGGAAAGATCGGAACTTCGGAAAGGTCCGACGAACAGGAACATGCCAGCCAAACGGTGTGTTATCTGAAGTGTCTGGTTATCGGGCGGTCATCAGTGTCCCAGCTGTGCGGTGAAGATGATGTTGTCTGACTGAATTGATCCATGGAGATGAGTGTGCATCGTGTCACCAGCCCTCTCTCATTTTAAGAGTCTTGAATATGTGCAAGACGCAATTGCAATCTGGATTTAGTTAGATGTATTCCAATACCCTTCTCATGAAAAGAAATTTAACGTGGAAAGTATACTTAAAAGGACCGAAGGCTAGAAACTTAATTGGAACTTACATGAGCTTAATTGTTAATTTTAGTTAGAAGAAAAGATTGGATGTATCTAATCACGCTTCGAGCAAGAAGTTGTTCAATCGAACTTTCTCATGTCACTTATACATGTTCATAATTTGTTATGGGGTTTCTCGATCTAATAATTACGATTAACCAAATTCTAGTTATGACTTGGTCCTATAGCATGGCACTTATCCCTGTTGTAGAAATGATTTTTTCTCACCAATGGTTGGATCTCATATTATGGCATTTGAATTGTATTTGATTTCCCTGTAATTCATTCACTCCAAGTAACTATTTTTCCCTTTGGGTTCTTACTTGTCTACATCGTTGCCCATAAGGATAAATAGAAGATTCTCTTCATAATATTCTTCCACCAAGCTTTTTCTTCTTTCTTCAGTTCATGGCAAATCCACCCTACTTGAGTTCCTCTTCATTAACAAACCCAACTTGTTCACGGATGGAATCTCTTTTTCTCGAAGTGCTATTCTGATTTGGTGCACTGCATACCGATTATTCTGGATTTCAATTTTAAACATGGCGAGAGGATTCGATATCGATTCTTCTATAAATATTGTAAACATTAGTTGTATCGTTTGACAAGATGCTGATTTTCTTCATTGCTGTACTTAATCTCCTACACAAGGTTGGATTTTTTAAGGGACACCATCTGCAATCTGAGTTCTAGATGAAAGACAACTTTTGGCATTAACGGCTCATAAGTAGAACCATTTTTCACTGTCATCCGGGCCACAACATATTGGCTAGTTACAGACTCGTAAGGAAAAGGAAAAGCACTAGATGATCTGACCATTCTGTAAGCTGATTAGGATGTATTCCCCTAAGTGATGGTTGAGTACAACATCAGATGCAGAGTATTAGCTGAAAGGCTTTCAAGACATGTTGGAACTTTTGGCGTTATCGGCTCATAAGTAGAACCATTTTCCACTGTCATCCGGGCCACAACATATTGACTAGTTACAGACTCATAAGGAAAAGGAAAAGCACTTGATATTCTGACCATTCTGTGAGTTGATTAGGATGTATCCCCCTAAGTGATGACTGAGTAAAACATCAGATTCAGAGTTTTAGTTAAAAGGCTTTCAAGACATGTCGGGCACTTTGCCCGATTGGTTGATACTAGAAAAGATGGATCTATGCAAGGACCACGGTCTCGACGGCCGTGGACTGGATGACTTGCTCCAACTGTTCTCCTTCTTGACCCTCCCATATCTCGGGTAAGGCTTCTCGGATGTTGTGAATGCTTCTCAGGGCATGATCTGCACCAGGCACCAACACTGAGCTCCCCACCTGCCATAGAAGTTCCAGACCCGTTTATTAGTTTCTGTACAGTAATGGACTGAAGACATCATCTTTCATCATTTATAGAATAAATCCAGTTGAATTTTAGGACGAGAACCCCTCAATTAGTGTTTTTTGTAAACATCCTCTAGGTTGGGAAATCGATTCTTTTGTCTCTATCTCCAAGGACCCTAATCATAGATTTAGCTTTTTCTCTTGGTGACATTACGATTTTCACAAGCGTCCACAGATTCAAATTTAGCTTTTTCTCTTAGTGACATTTCAGTATTTTTATATAAACAGAGTGGACATGGCTGCATATTATTCTAGCAAGTTGATAACTTGGACAAGAGTGGTTAGTGTAGTTCGGACAAACTCTGTGATTGTTAATCTGATGATACCATAATCAGTGGGTTGTCCACCAAATTTCTCCTCCAAGATGTGTAGAGTAAAACTAGAGCTCAAGAGCTTACAATGACTGTATGTAGTCCTGCTGCTTTCCCACTAGCAATGTTTCGAGCACTGTCATCAAAGAAAATCTGGGAAGCAGGAAATCAAGGTAATTTGCTTATATCCAGCCTTAAAATTTCATAAAAACACAAGGTGGTAAGAGCATTAGTATTTACTGTTTTGCTGGGATCAACATCTGCTATCTTGATTGCTGCTTCAATGGCTTCCACTGAGGGTTTACAGAGGATTCGCGTCTTGGAGCTTACAATGTTGCTGCCAATTTGGCTGTCAACCTCTATGTCACCTTCTGCCTGCACTGAATCACCATCTAACTGATCCATAATAGGCTCAAGAGCAGGGTTGAGAGTTTCGAAGCATATTATGCCTTCAAAGCAATCTTCTAACCCCAGCCTGCTCAGAACTTGGTCTACATGCGCTTTGTCTCCATTGGTAAAGATCTGTATATGCCAAATCAACGCATTAAAATTGCAAATACAAAGATCACGTCATGATCAGTTCAAATGCTTAACATACAATTTTGCGCTGCGGCATGGAAAGTAGGAGATTTCTCAATACAGGATCCGGTTTCAGTGTTTCATAAGGCAGCCTTCCATGAACATATGCATGGAATTCATCATTGTCAAATTCATAACCCAGAGCCTGGAACAAACTAATTAGATTAGTAAGATATATTTCTGAAGTCATAAGCACAAAGCATGAGAGCAGAAATATTGATGGCCCAAAATATCTAATTTCATCTCCCTTCGAGCTTTGAGACAATCTAAGGAAGTTGGGGCAAAACTGTTTTTACCTTTAGACCAGCCATTGTGGTGCCATGTTCCCTGTACAGTTCCAAGCACATCCTTGGAACTTCACTTTCCTCGATATGCAACTTATGGAGCATGAACTCTGCAGTTGAAGAAACTCGGTATCATTCATCAAGATTTGCAATTCCAACATCAACTATAGTGACATCACTACTTTTATCACCATAAGCTACCATACCTTCGATATTCTTCCGGCAAGCCAGATTGAGGCCTGAGCTCAAAGGGTACAGAGTATCATCCATATCTGGTCATCATTGACAGTTCGCATCAATTGAGATGCTTGGAAAAATATTTATCTTCTAGCAATATTAACTTAGTCCCAAATAAATTTCTGCGAATTAGGGTGTGAAGAGTTCCAAACTTACCGAAGAGCAAGCACTCATACTTGGTTTCAGCAGACCTGTCAACAGCATCCATCTTCAAGAAAGTACCTGCAACAATCCACGAGATTGGACACAAAAGCGTATATGAGAGCATATTCCAAGTTCCTCATATAATCCTTAATCCTCTACTCCCGACTAAGCAGAAGAAACTTGTGAATTTAAGAATACTCCGGTTGAAAATAAACAAGATAATATGTTTAGCTCACTCTTGAATTCCCTTCTCCTTAAAATTCTTATTTTAAGGTATAAAGAACTTAAGAGTACATGCATGTGAAAAGAGAGACCTAGTGAACCCATCAAGAGCGTTTGAGTTAAAAGATCACAGGCCTTAACATGACAAGCTGTTCAAGCAGTTTCCATTTTGTAGACAAGACAACCTTGTGTCCTGGTATTCTTAAGGGCATCAACTCAGCATATTTTTTATTATATCTCTGATTAAAGCAATGCAGAAACCCATCAAACTCCACCACAGATTCCCAAATAAAGAATCGACAGTGCTTTGTCCAGCCACACAGAAAGACAAGATAGGCATACTTAGAAAAATGCGTAAATGCAAGCGCAAGCAAAACCCTCCAAACAGTGAGAATGACTACAGCAGCTCTGAAAGCATGGATGAGGTATTGGGTCACAAGGCGTATTTATACTACAGCTGAAGGGGTCCACTAACATGAGGAATGTGCAAGGTGACATATCCAATATCCTATGCGGGGAGCATATCTCCTCATCCCTGCGGTACAAATCCCAAATTGTTCAAATCCTTTGTGCTTTAGTTACCTGTCATTGTCTTGCAGGGAAGGGGGAAATGAGAGAAAAATGCTTTTTGTCATCTATGTTGCTCACCAAAAGGGCCAATCCCTATAATACAGGACAATTGACCTAATGGCCCAATACATTTATGCCACCTCCCTGTTGATGGGGAGAAATAAAGAATCTTCTAGATAAAGCTAATGTGATGAACGGAGATATTCACTTGAGGATATGTTTGTTTCACTGAAAACGTGTAGTTAAAAAATGTCTTCGGAAAATCAATTTTAGAGAAAGTAAATTAATTTCTTATATTTGCTTGTGCCGAAAGCAAGTTGAAAAAATTGGTTTTGTGATATTTGATGACAAGGGAATCCACCAAAGGCAGCTTGCATCGTTTAAAGTGACATGTAATGATTAATGAACTGGAATCTAACAACTTCTTTGTTTATTCCATGGTCCATCAAAATAATAAGAATTACAAAGAAATTAGGAAAGAAGTTATGGCGTTATGTTTGTAAAATACTTTTATCTGATGGTGTTTTTCGGAAATTTCGGAGAACGTGAGCATTAATGAAGTATATTCGGGAGGTGGTAAACTAAACTTATGAAAAAAACACATAAGAGACTTACCGAAGAAAAAATTTGATGAGAGATAGGAAATGGACATTGTTGGACCTATTCTTCACACTTGGACGCAGAGCAAGAATCAAAGAAAATGATTTTTTTTTTACCAGAATAGGAAGTTGTTTTCCCCAATAAGCTTGTTATTTTCAATGCACGGCAATTGTTTCCGTCCATCTATCCACTAGTTTTCTGTTATCCAAATACTGGAAAGATCGAAAACAATTTCACGGAAACGAAATTTTCGCCAATCAAACTGACCCTTAACTTTCCAGTAAAAGAAGAAACGTTGATCACATTAACTCGAAAACATGGACCTAGGCCGTACATTTGGTAATCTTACTTTTTTTACTTACTTTCGATCATGAAATACATCACTAATCAAATGAACCGAGCTAGAGGCGGGCCAAAAGCAGAGCGGGAGGCACAAAGATGGGAGCATTGCACTATGCAATGTGAGAAATCAAATGTAATGCACACACATATCTCTATTCCATAATCACTCACCCAACTTGCCAGACACCGACTCATTATCACTACACCAAGGGTGCATTTGTTTCACTGATAAAAGAAAATATATATCATGAAAATCACTTTTAAGAAAAACGTTTAATTTTCATCTGTTTGATGGTTTAAGGAGAGCGATTTCCTTCTAGAACCTCGTTTTCCTCGATCCAAGTTTATTATTTTCAGTCCACGGAAGAAATCAGTTTTCCACGTATCGATTAGCCTCCCGCCGTCCAAACATTGAAAAGCCGGAAAACAATGTTACGAAAACAGTTTTCCTTCGAACAAAGGGATCCCAAATACGAATACATAGTTTCGAAGCACTCATCTTACAAAAGAAATCTTTGGATATTGCCAGTAGTGGACTGTCAGGTCAGATCAAGTTGGCTAGGAATCAGGGAATCCTGAATGTGGGTTGAGGAAGTGGGTGGAGGGGGTGGGCTTTGCCTTCTTGAAGATCAGGATTATTCTTTGCACAAGAATAATCCTGATGGGCAAAAAGATAAAGACGATCTGGAACGGGGACCATGGCGGCATATGCAGAAACTGCAGTTTCTTCACGATTCGATTCCCCCTGTCCACGAGCGATGATGCAGAGGCTTCAGTCAGAAGTCGGGATGAGTCGCCGACGGCGCATCAGCATCGATCCTCGGATCTTTTTCCTTGCCTCCCCTTACGCGCGCCACGTTGGTTCGAGGGTGGCGATGCTTCGAATGATTCGGATTCGTCTTGCGACTGACTCCCACTCTTCTTCTTGGGATTTGCTTAAAGTGCGATACTTTGTTAGTGCAGATGCTTGCGTTCCTAACTTGGTCCTATGCACGGCGGTCCTGTCGATTCGGTTCGTATCTCCAACGGTTCGTGTCACTACACTTGTCAAAGCGATTAAATAAGAAAACTTACGATTTTCAACGTATTGATTGTTCTCGTGTTTTGTAAACTTTAACTCAATATCTTGAAAATTGAATATAACGAAGTATATTTATGGAGATTAGAGATTTCGTTATTAGAGAATATTCAGCTATTATCAGAGCCACCAAAAGAGGAGATCAAATCAAACCCTAGCCTTTTCTTCATTTATGCTCTCTTTAGTCATCTCATTTCAGTAACTTCCTGATTTTGTCAACACTTCAACATCACTACCATGGACGTTATTCATTGTGGTACTCTTTTTTAATTGCGAGCATCATCGACGAGTGAAATTGCTGTCAAATATACATATAGTTGTGAGCGTCGGAATCAAGCACTCCTTCATCGCGCAGCCAAAGATGAGCACCATGGGGGTGATGTCATCAAGTATCTAGCTAGCCGTGAGTGCCAGAGTCGAGCCAAAGATGAGCACCATGGGGTGATGCAATTTAGTTTGCTACAATTCAAGTTGGGTTTCCACAAGGTTTTATCAAGGTTATATGAGGAAGATATGTCAACTTTCTGAGCATGTGTCGCTTCGGCGCTTTTAAGTGTAATGTCTGGCTTACCCGGCGCATGATCAGACTTTGGAAGAAAGTTGAATCAGTATATGCAAGTCGGATGCTCCGGGTTGAGGTGAAGTGATGAATTATATTTATAGAGATTAGAGATTTTCTTATAAGAGAATATCTAATTATTTTTAACAAGGCACTTCACATAGATTTTGAAATTTTTATTTTTATTCTTTTTACGGCAAAATGAAGGAGGCTAACCCTCAGACTTGCTTAAAACCTATCTAATATAATATTGTAAAGTTGGGAAGAGTTCATATCGTTTTGCGACGTGGCGTGTGACTGATCACATTGGGGGCAAATGGAGGTGACCGCATGCCACGTCGCAATTTCATTACACGTGGTGTCCATTGTCATATTAAACTAATAAGTTAATTTGCTTATTACTTCTCGCCATCCTACGAATCCCACGAGCATGACACAAATTGAACCGTCGATCCCTATTCACGATCGACCGTTTGGATTTGCTGGAGATTTCTGGCTGAGGACCTCTATTTTGGCTATAAAATCGAATAATAATATAATAGATATCCTATGCACGCATGAGTTTGTGGGTTCTTACTTTTTGCATGAAACATGTGCATATGATGATCACGTTGCGCCAATGGAAGTTGTTGCGGCAAACGATCAAACAGTAAAATAGACATAATAAGAAAATAAATTAAACATCAAATTTACATGATTCGGTCGGTATGACATACGTCAACTTGGAGAACAGTAAAGAATTCGACTCTAAATCAAACGACACAACGGTGAATACAACCACACTCTAATCACTGAAAATCGCATTAGTGCTAGTGAACAGCAACATGTTTCTAATACTAGTATGGCTAGATTAGTAAGGTTACCTGACCACACTTCTTCGAGAGTCCAACATCCAATCGCAGTCGATGGGATTTATTCATCAAGTAGCTTGCCGTAACAAGCGCATCCGCTAGGAATCTCCTAGCCATACCAACACTAGAGATCATTTTATGAGCCATTCCTAGTAATATCTTGCCCATCAACTCTGCAACATGTTGTGATTCATTAGCACTAATGCGACGTTTATTTTGCCCATCAACTCTACAACATGTTGTGATTCATTAGCACTAATGCGACATTCTACTATGCCTTCCTTCATTTGTATTTGTCTTCTTCTTTATTGCTTTTTGCAGAATATATGGGGAAAGTTTTTGGAATTATCATGACCCTAATGGCTCAAAGAGAGGTTCTGAACTGACAGATTTTTTGTCGGTCAATGGTGTCTTTTGCTGGGATGACCATTTCAAGCCTCAATGTGGACAAAACCAGTTGCATATTCCCTGCATTATCGGACTTTCTTTTCCGATCTTTGCTTTGTCGATCCTTTTATATGGTAACTCGTTGTATGTAGTCACCTCTGCAAGAGAGTATTTTCCCCTTCTTCATTTGAATCAATACATTAATTCCCTTGTCAGCATCCAGTAACGGCATATCAAATCAGATCAAATTGGACATCAAGTAGACAGTAAGCTAGAAGCCGAGCATTTTCTGTGCATGATCGATTCATCTGAACTGTAGGAGAACTAGGAAGGCTGAAAAGGCTGTCATACATATCGCATCTCGTTGAGAGTGTTCTAGGCGACTTGTACCAAAGTTCAAAGCAGCTATAAGATTTTAAATATAACCCAAGTGAGGCTTTTCAAAGATAAATACTATATAATGAAAAAAAGATCCATACTACAATGTAGTGAAGCTATAGGGTTTTTCCCCTGGGGTTTGAGTGCAAAAGTACAAGCATTTTTGCCGTACCAAAATATTTACTATAATTGATAAATACAAATACCATTGCATTCTACTTGCAAAATTAATGACCATTCATATTTTGAGAAAGCGAAATGAGACTTGTAGTTAGCCTAACAACTGAATGTCTCCTTTTCAATATATGCGAATCAAAAGAACCTCGAGTATAGCCAGGGATAACTACTCTCTAAAACTTGCCATTGCCTATCATCCACAACCAGCCTAGAGCGACTCCCGAAAATGTCCCACCCAAGAGAAACAGCACAAGCAAGTTGCCTAAGGTATTTTGTTCCGGTCCCTGAAAAAACAGATCGACCCATTTTGAATTGTAAGAAGAAACTGTGCTAAAATGAACACAACTCAAAAGAGATATAAAGTTCACGTCAAACCTTGTAGCCCTTGGGTGCTACTGTCATAACAGAGACGGTAAGATAACCATGGGTCAAGCCCAAGAAAGAAACGAGCATTATCATCCACCCCTGATCACCATACTTTGCTGTGAAGTAGAA